GTCCTTGGGGATCTTGCTGCCAAGTTGAGGTATGATGACTGAACTTCAGGATTGATCAACCTTTTCTTCTTAGCCACTGCTTATATACGAGAAAGACCAAATGCTTGTTGTAAACTGCCTTGAAAATTTAATGATCCACCTTCAATTCTGACATGAAGGCACAAATAAAATAGTTCGCTCTCCTTTTGGAATACACAAAGCAAATATTTAATAACTTCTAGTGGATGGACAAGGGCAATTAGCACACTTCCCTCAAGTTAACTTCTGGGGCACTGATGCACTGAGTGCTGTTCACGGACTACCTGATGAATAACACTGACGCTTATTCGCTTCATATTTTGTAACAAACGCGCAAAAACTGCAATATAACAGCACTATATGCTTCTTGACAAAATGCAAAAGTAGTAAAAATTTAGCCCTGATGGCATTCATTCTTGGTTGAAACGTAATTACAAAATATTTTGTAATAACTATTAAATTCCGGCCGAAAACAGTGCACGGTTTCAAAAGAATCATTCCAATGACGGTCCATTCTTGCGGTCCTGAAATCGCCACTATTTCCGGCCTCTCCAACGCAACTCGTTGTCCAGACGTAAATATGCTGAGAAAACTGGTTGGCGCACACTGATTTCACCAGATTTCACAGACGATCAATTTTATCAAATTTGTTTACTATTTCACAGACTCATAGCTCGTATTTACCCATACCTACAGCTCCACAGTGATAGACGACTTCTCAGGAATTATGTCTGAACTAATTAATAAATTGCACGGCGTGTGACATTAACGTTACATCGTCGGTGTTCAAAACTTATTTTGAAAATATTATTCATATCTCCCATACAATGTGCGCCAACCAGTTTTCTCAGTAATTCAGCTAGCAATTCTCGTGCTGTGTTCAAAAAGACGTTTACAGTGAGGGGCAAACTTAAGAAAAACGAACTATAGCGACTTTATTTGAAGGTGCGGCATTTGTTGCGCGCAAAGCAGCATATACCACCGCGTGCCACCAAATGTTTTAGTAAAAGATTTAAAAATCGTTAGATCTCCGCTGACGTCACACATTCAGAGGGGTATTCAAAAGCATTAGCCCCTCTGAATCAAAACGCTGCAATTTTGAAATTCAATATTTCCGATTTTTTCTCGATGTTGTGAGTGCCGAAACCGGTAATTGTGAGCCAGGGACCTCATTTTGGCTATCTCAACTCAAATCTAATGTTAAGGTGGGAGGGTCCAGGGGTGTCGATTTTTCAAAATGGTTGGGGGTGCTCAACCCCTGCACCGGGTGAAAGATTGCAGCTTTGCCATGGGGCACAACCGTACAAGGCATGGTTGGGTATCACCATAAGGTACTGATAATCCCGGGATTTCCACTAATATTTCCCAAAGGTTAAATGTTCTTCAAAATCATTCTGCTCGTCCTAGTACTTGGCTACCTCATTACAATAAACATCTTTCCGAAAAAAAGTCGTACATTTACCGGCAGCTCGGCAGCAGCCCCGGCACCTCTGTAATAAGGTGACAGAAACCGATGATCGCGATTAGCACCGGTGCAGCAGCCCCTGCGGTCCACAGGGGGCGGATGTTGCGCGGGAGGCAACGGTATAGCTACGAGGCTCTGGCGTTAATCAGACGATCACAATAATCGTTGAAAAAATGACAGGTGGTCGCATTTCGATATTTATGGGTTTACGATTTTCCTCAGTGGCGTAGCCAGGTGGGCCCGTGAGGCACATGCCCCCCCCCCCCCCATCAGGTTCAGGGGCCCATCGGGTTATTCGGGCCTGAGGGGCCCTGCGGCGCCAATTGGACGCTGAGGTTCCACGTTGGCTATATTTGGACTCAGAAGGGCCCCACAGGGCTCGTAAGAACACCTCATGGGCCCACAAGTACCAACATTATCTCCATAAGGGCCCCACGCCAGCCTCTGAGGGCCACTTGCCGGCCTCTGGGGGTCTTAACCGGCCTATAGGGGGCCAGCTCTAGGAGCTGCACACCCGCCTGTAATGGCCCCACACCCATTTCTCTGAGGACCCCTATAACGGCGACTGTGAGGGCCCTCACCGGCGCCCCTGAGCGCCACACCGGCGTCTCTGAGGGCCCCACACCCCTAACTCTGAGGCCCTACACCAATGCCTTTAAAAACCCTACATGGGCGGTTCTGAGGGCCCTTGTCAGTTACCAGCGACCCTGACGGCCCCACACAGGTGACTCGGAGGGTCCCAGCGGCGTCTGAGCGCACCATGCCAGTCTCTGAGAACCCCACAAGGCTCCTGAAGGCACCGGTGACCTCTTGATATCTTCTTGTCGGCCTATGAAGGGTCCGTTCCGTAACAGCAGTTCTGTGATGGCCCTAAAGCAGTGTCTCAGAGAGCCCCCACAGGCCACAACGGCGCCTGTGAAGTGTGAGGGCCGTCACCGGCGACTGTGAAGCCCCCGCACCGGCGCCTCCAGTCCGAGGGCCCCACATTGCCATATCTGAGGGCCCCACCACTAGTGCCTCTTAAGGCCCTATATCGGCGGCTCTGAGGGCCCAACATCGTAGCTTCTGAAGGCCCCACAAGTGCGTATGTGACGGCTCCCCTGCCACCGGTGACATTTGAAGGCCCCACACCGGCGACTCTGAGGGCCCCATCGGCGTCTGAGTCCGTTCCGGTCTCTAAAGACGATCCCACAGGGTTTCTGAAGGTACCACCGGCCTCTGATGGCCCTTTGCTGGCCTCTGAGGGCCCGTCGCCGGTCTCTGGGGCCCCCTGCCGGCTTGTAAAGAGTACGCGCCAGCAGCTCTAAGGGTCCGACACACGTGTACGACGGACCCACACCAGTGTCTTTGCAACTTAACGTCTTTTTTTTCGCCCTTCTTCTTAAAACTAACTTTTCTTTTCTTTACATCTTTATTTCATGCCTTGTAAATTGCGTAATTGTTTTATTTTTAGTAGTGAAATACTGCAGAACAATTATTTTCCTGAAGCAGAGTTAGTGGGAGTTATTGAGGGACAAAATCATTGGGGGTGCCCGGAAAACGATTGGGGGTGCTCATTTGAGCATTGGGGGTGCTGCAGCACCCCCAAAGGTATACAAATCGACACCCATGGGAGGGTCCCTTTAACCTGATACGTTTGACAATTGAAAATGCTATCATTGGAAAGAGCATTCAATTCTCTCCAAGATCCAATCATCACGTTTGCATGACAAGCAACAGTATTCTTAAAAATATAAATGTTTCAAACCTCTGCAAAACGATTTTTAGTGAAAATTGTCTACGCCTTTAATTTGTCATAAAACAACGCGCCTAAATTATAAAGCACATTTGACAGATTCTGAAGTGGAAAGCATGCTTATCAGACACGGGCACCTCGATGCGGTGGATATTTTTTCCACAAACCAAAACGTTTAGCCGTCAAAAAGCAATCGACCGAAATGGATAGATAACCCAACCGACACAAGAACAACCGAACACCCGCCGATCGAAAATATCCCTTTTCGCGTTGCGGAGCACGCGGGTCACCCTAGTGAAAAGACTATTGCATGAGACATTTAGTTGTGAATCTTCTGAATAGTGAATTCGAGTATCGCAGTTTTGATGAGTTGGTACTCGTTTTGGGAATCAACCTTGGCTCATTAGCTATAAAAAATAAAAACAAGGTCTCATCTGGTCACATCCTAAAACGTAACCAAATATGTTCATCCCCAGACACAATGGATTTTGTAACTCGTAGATGCTTACTGTATTGCCTTGCCCCAACAACAAATACTAAGCCAAGATGGAAGCTGCCAAGAAGCTGCATCTTTTCTCAGATTGATATTGGTCTTGGCTTTGACCTAAGTCCTAACACGCTTGTCTCTTCACTAGCTGCGTTTATTCAGCATGAATTTGATTAATATTTAATGATTAGCATGCGCTTCTTGTCGAGTTGGTACTTCCGTCGGTGGCCGAGTCTGTTCCGTCCGTCTGTCTGCACGGTGGTGTCGGTATTTCCAATCATCACCGCGGCCTTCCTCTGTCGTCATTTGGCCGCACCGGGAACAGGAAGTCGGAGAGGGGACAGGATCTTGGGTCAGAGACCAGTGCGCAGTAGCAGTGGGGGGGGGGGGGAGGGGGAGGTAGGGGCTGCCGTAGGGATCGGAGGTTGGCACGTGAGAGGACTGTCAAGACCTTTTTTCTAACAGACGGCCTATCATTTAATGTAAAACGTTCAGACTATATTCACAATAATGCAACATTATGAAATATGTCATAAGATATGCTAATGGATAACAAGAACGGTGTGCTTACTTGGCTTGATTTCCATTGTTCCCGCTGAACTTGTTTGCTAGCTAAGTTGCCATAGAAGCAACTATGATATCACATTGAGTGTTTAAAGGGACCCTCCCACCTTCAAAAAAGTTAATGAATTGGCATGAAAGTGATGTCGCTCGGTTCAGAAAGAGCGAAAACGAATATCTACCAAATTTCACCGAAAAATATTCACCGGTTTTCAAGATATTAGACTTTTACATTTGTTTACTTTTTTGGGATCTCCGCTGTTTCTAGCGACTTTATTTTAGAAGTGCGGCGTTTGCGGCAGATGTTGCGCGCAAATAGCATATACCACCGCGTGCTACAAAACGTTTTAGTCAAACATTTAAAAATCGTTAGATATCTGCGCTGACGTCACACATTCAGAGGGGTATTCCTAAGCATTAGCCCCTCTGAATCAAAATGCTGCAATTTTGAAATTCAATATTTCCGATTTAAGGCATTTCTCGATGTTGTGAGTGCCGAAACCGGTAATTGTGAGCCAGGGACCCCATTTTGGCTATCTCAACTCAAATCTAATGTTAAGGTGGGAGGGTCCCTTTAAACAATGCGTTATGAGGTAGATTTGGTAGGTATACATACAATATCAGGTAAGAATGGCGCCGACCCGACTATTCCCCTTGAGTTGACCCCCCACCCCCACCCCCCCCCCTCAGCGCACTCACCTGACCTGAGCCGACCTCTGTCCGCCCACTCACAGGTGTTGTGCGGAAAGTGCGGTAACGGCCTGGGTCACGAGTTCATCGGAGACGGCCCCAAGGGCGGCTCGCGCTTCTGAATATTCTCTCACGCTCTCAAGTTTGTACCTCACAAAGGTGAGTATGCGTGCTCATCTGGCGGCGGCGGTTTTGTGTTTGAAACCGGAGCTGTAACAGAAGAAATGATGTGAAATGAACACTGATAGATATAAAATCTGATGGCCAATAGTTGCAAGCCAAAATGATAATTAAAATTTAAATCTTTTCTAACAATACTGAACTCTGATCTATAATTGTAGTGGGTGAGATAAGCATGTAATGTAAATGAACGCTCATATTTTTCGTTCTTACTTTGATGTAGTTTCGGTTACACTGTCTGTTTATTTGTACATGGTTAGACGGCACCCAGGCCCACTGAGCAGGGTTTTATCGTCTGTCGGTCGCAGGCCGTAGCTATCGCCTTATATTGCTCTGCAACCGCCTACCTTTTCACATTAATTTATTCGTGGACTTCCTACAATTGACCCTGTTCCCTGACGTCTTTAACGTTCAAAACCCGGTAACCTGCCCTGATATCAACCATTTTCCGGTATGACCTGACCTTTATAGAGGTCATCAAACTTGTTGTTGACCGATGTGACGTGACCTTTTCAGAGGTCATCAAGCGTGAGGGCGCTGCCAACGGCACCAGCACGGGGTCGGTCTCTGGTGATGTGAAGAAGCAGTAAGCGGTGAAGATGTGGAAACTATCGCGGGGCCGGCCGGTCGGGCGGCGAGAACGGATATTGGTGGGCGGACGCTGCCTCAAGATAAGGCATGGATGAAGCAACCATGGAGTGCTGACTATCGCACGAAGACTGGACGCAAATATTGGTCATTCGCCTACACACGGATATGAATCCGCGTCAGAAATGACGTGCTAATTACTTGAAATGCAGCCTGCGGTCCACGCTTATGAAGTCAAAGGTAACCAGATTTGTCCGTGATCCGTCACTGGTTCCGACGAAACTGGCAAACCGAAACAAAAACAAATAGAGAAGCAAATCGAACAAACAAGCACACATGACAGACGGCGGTGGCGGCGCCGGGCGGCTCCTGAGTCGGGGTCGGATGACGCTCAGTAGGCAGACCGCTGCGGCGGACCCACTGGGCCGAGGGTATACCCCGACCGCGGCGTCCCGGCACCGCTACCGCTGTGACCCGATCGGTCGGCGCCCGGGGGGGGGGGAGAGGGAGGAGAGAAGTAGGTAGACAGGTAGAGAAGTAGAGAAGGAGGGAGTGAGGGAGGGAGGCAGAGAATGTTCTACAGAGGGATTAAGGGCCGTGTTGTGTACTCGTACTTCGTACCTGTGGTGTGGGGACGGGGGAGGGGGCGTTTTGGAACGTCAAGTGAAATGAGATGTGTGCCATCAACGAAGGCGCCTGCTATGACTCAGTTACCATGTCACGATTCTTTTGGTGCGATGTTCCCGACATGACGTATTCAGGTTCAGTGAATGTTGTTTGTCGCGATATATTTGTTCTAAGTGCTAAACGTCATTTATTCGTAATCCGGCCCAGCTTTGGAGGGACACGGGTAACAGTTTTCAGTTCAAAGTTTCTCGATACTGATTGCCCCAGCATGACATGCGCCCACGTTCCTCAAGACGCTGATATCGCTTTTGTTCGTATTCAACTCTGGTGCGTTTGACGTCTCTTGTTCAGTTTACTCTACGGAGGCTGAACACCTGATGTTTTTAGCTCATGTTACCTACTTTAGGGCGGCACAACGATATTTGTCAACGTATTGCTATCGCGTCGCACTTCACAGTGTCCCAAACTTTGCTTTTGCGAGACGTGCTCTATCGTGAACCGCGCAGATACCTACTGCGGCCTTTATGCGTGTTCCCGCTCAACACATGATATTGTGGCGCTTATAAATGTATTTTCGCACGAAGAAGCGCGAACGTCATGTCACAGCCTGCCTTTGTGTCCGGGGCTCAGGCTTTTTAGAGATGTCCTTGAGACAGATGGGACGGCTGTTCGTACTTATACTTAAGTGAAGAATGATCTGTGGGGTACATACGAGTTATAAATCACAGTTCTCACGTGTTCTTACGAACACATCGCTAATTAAAAATGCCTATTTATGAAGCTCAGGAACGCCGTTTTATTTTATCCCGATCAACTTGTATCGATCTTGCCAGCTCGATGACATCAATACATCCCACAAGCTGGACGTCTTGTCTGTGCCCGAGTGGCGAGTTTCATTCACATCTGGCTTAGAGGCGACCGGAGAACCTGTTCGGGGAGCTTGGGGGTTTTCAGCGCAGTCGCGGAACTTCCCCCGATTATCACAACTCTGAGTGGTTCGTGCTCTACGCTGGATTGACCCTCCGAACACGGCTGTGTTAAAAAATAAGACATATTTGAACGCTGAAGCCGACAATATTTGATAGTCTGTTCCCTCATCCGTACCGGCCACAGTATAAGATGCGACCATCAGTTACTTTGGTCCGTGTTATTCGTATATTTACCTGCCGGCACAACCATACCTTTAGACTCCATCGCACTCATTGCGCTCTAAAAAGGCCTCACGTCCAGAAACTATCCCTGACGCAATAAAAACATTTATAACGAAATTGCAATACCTGTGCTCTGTTTCAAGGCACGTTGTTAGCGGCAACCAGCGCCGATGGCGATTCCTGTATCCATAGTGACATTTTTCGAAGTCGGACGCTGAAAAAATACGATTACTGAGATGACGCTATTGGAGAGCTCATAGAAACCGTGACTAAGCCCCCGTCGCATGACTTGACCACAACCTACGTCAGCTCTCGTGACGCGCTAATAAGCGCTAGCGGCGTGCCGCAAAACAGGGCCCCGATGCAGCAGGATCCTTACCTGTCACCGTCGCGCCATCTGGGACGAAGATCGCCTAACCTCTCACCTAGACGTTGAGGTGTCACGATCTGCGCTGGTTCTCACAGTACCGGCGTTGTTCTGCCCGCCGCACTGCCCCTGCCGTCATGCCATTGCAATTATAGCCATGTCTCGCCCTGATCCATCTTGCATGGTCAATCATTTCTCGCGTTTCTTTCCCTGAAAATTCAAGACTGGCACCTCACATTTCGTCTCAGACTTGCATGTCATTCATTTAACGACCTTTGAAGCGTTCACCAAAATGCTTACTTTCGCCGTGTGGTAGAGCACTTTGTCACAGCCTCATTTCAAATCTAGCGCCACCCTACCTGACTAGTGCGTCTGACTCTGGCACCAATTGATCCCTCATGACTGTCAGTTAAGCTCTCATCAACGATCATTAATGATCCTTCGTCTTCTAGCTGATGGAGGCGACCAAATAAGTCGGAAATAGGGTTGTGACGAATAAATAACCGATACCTAGCACCCTCGCACCCTCGAAAGTCCGCACCACATGGACAAGTTTTATTTATAAATGCGGCTGTGCTGATGAGCGTTCCGCCGCCGGTCCGCTACGGACCGCCGCTCCCCCCCGGTCGGCGCCGGACGCCGGCTCACCGCGCGCCCGCCAAAATATATCACAGCTGCAGTCCCCAGCGCGGGACACACTTCACTGTAAAGCTCCGGAGCGCACGCACGCGCGCGCGCGCGCGCGCGCGCCGCGCCCGGGTGGGTAATAGTAACAACACAAACAAAAGCGGCGCGCGGCGCGCGGCGGCCGGCGGCCGGCGGCGCGCGGACGGAGGAGGCGGCGGCGGCGGCGCGGCGGGCGCCCTGAGAGTCGCACAGGCGCGCGAGCGCCGGCGGCTCGCCCGGCGCTCTTTGTATATGCGCGCGCACCATCTGTATCTCAGTTTACTCTGGCTCTCTCACAGTTTACGCTCTGTCTCGCTCAGTTCAGGTCCCTGTCCTCAAGGAATTTGTATTCGAACTTGAAGCCCTCTTTCTTGCGCTGGCTCCACTTTTCGAAGTCGAAGTACACGTATGTGCCCTGGGTGGAGAGGGGCTGGGGTGAGCTGAGAGCACGCGCAGTTGGACGGGTAGCAGCAGCGAAACGGAGGACCTGATGTTTAGGACACGAAACATACAGGCGACAAAATTATCTGCTGCTTGATCACAATTGCTATAAAAATGACCTCCGAGCGAGCAGTTACGGTACAATAGAACAAAATAGGTAGTGGACGTTTTATCATTCCTTTTCTCTTCTGGTAGGCAAACATTGGTGGGAACAAGATGCAAAACCAATACCAAATGACGACAATGGAAACGTCCAGAGCAATTTGGATTAAGTAGATAGCATTAACAGAACTGGAGCAAGCCCACGAGCAATTTTCAAGAACATATTACCATACCGCGGTAGAATCATGGTACCACCTGCCGTACAAAGGCAAAACCAATTACGCTGAGTTAATATCTGGCCTAAGTTAATGACCTCTGACCCGACGTAATCGCTTTAGCCTTTGCACGGCGGCAGGGTCCAAGAGAGTTGAAGTTAAGGACAAGGACGGGGACAGTGTGATCGATTAGCGCGCCCCCGGCGCACCTGTTCAAACTCGTCGGTGATAACCTTGGGCTCCTCGTGCCTCTGGAACCACATCATGTACTTAGTGTGAAACCTCCACGACTGCTTCTTGAGCGCCTTGGCTGCCAGATACTGCGCCTTCGTACCTGGCAACACGCAGACGAGACGCCACGGTCAGCTAAAGCGAGGACTGTCTGCAGCGAGAAACGGACAGACGGGACCAGGGGAAGATTCCAGGGGGCAGGTCATGAGGTCGTCATGACACTAAAAAGCCCCGAGTGTGATTTCCACTCCCTCCCCCTCTACAGAATTCGTAAGGCACACCTCGCCTTCAAACCCCAGCCCAGCTACGCTTTAGCCAGTCTGGTGGGTTCTATCGTTTATTGATTCAATCCATCCTCCCCCCCCCCCCACGCAAGACAAAAACGGCTGGATTAACCTTTGACGGGAAATAGCCCCTTCACGCACAGACGAGCAAACGTTCCTTACCTTCCATATAATAGAAGATAAAGAACAGGGTCTCAACTGACAACTTGAGAAAAAACTCGATGGAATCGCTTCCAGGTGGCGGTACCTGAAAAAGATCATTATGTCACAAACGGTATTCGTGTCCAAACCGATAACCCCACAACTTTTAAACAAAACACGGATATAACATATTCTGTAGCCACTGTGAAGAGTTTGCACGTCATTTTGAGCGAGCGGAGTTCGATACAATAAATACATATGCCAAACGAAAAAAAAAAACATACTCACAATCGAAAGATCAATTCAGCAATCGACTAAGAATACGCAAATGTCTACGAAAAAAGACCTTATGCTCAAATGGCACGTCTAATCGTCTATTAATGTGGTGATCATTGGCCGCATGTGTAATAGAAGATACAGTTCACGCACAACACAATTCGACATCGATCGGTGCGAGAGAAGAGCTCCTAGAACTTGACGTAAGGCCAAGGCTGCAAGAGTAAGGTTACTAATGATCCCGATAGGAAAAATAATGGCGTTCCCATGGCCCTGAGCTAGTAGGGTATAATTGACCTGGGTTGCTGACCTGGGGTGGCACTGGCAGCCTGTCAAGGGTATCTCTAATTACTGACCTGGGGTAGTAACCTTAGGGTAGCAACCTGAGGTAGGTCACCTAAGTAATTAAGTAGGGTAATTCTCACTGACCTGGGGGATTCTCTCACTGATTCTCTCACTAACCTGAGGGTAGTAGGGCGGCGTGGGGTATGGTCCCAAAATGTCCCTAGAGTAGGGTATTTTCCACTAACCTGGGGGTAGTAGGGCGGCGTGGGGTACGGGTCCAAAATGACCCTAGAGTAGGGTATTTTCCACTAACCTGAGGGTAGTAGGGCGGCGTGGGGCACGGGTCCAAAATGACCCTAGAGCAGGGTATTCTCTCACTAACCTGGGGGTAGTAGGGCGGCGTGGGGTATGGTCCCAAAATGACCCTAGAGCAGGGTATTCTCTCACTAACCTGGGGGTAGTAGGGCGGCGTGGGGCACGGGTCCAAAATGAACCTAGAGCAGGGTATTCTCTCACTAACCTGGGGGTAGTAGGGCGGCGTGGGGCACGGGTCCAAAATGACCCTAGAGCAGGGTATTCTCTCACTAACCTGGGGGTAGTAGGGCGGCGTGGGGCACGGGTCCAAAATGACCCTAGAGTAGGGTATTCTCTCACTAACCTGGGGGTTAAGTAGGGCGGCGGGGTATGGGCCCACAATGACCCTAGAGTAGGGTATTTTCCACTAACCTGGGGGTAGTAGGGCGGCGTGGGGTACGGGTTCCGCGGCAGATATGACCTCAGCCGTTCCGAGTCTGACGGGTGAGGCATGTGGTAGAACGCCGCCTGCCGGTGCACACGGGACAGTCAGAGGGCATACAGGGCCAGGTAATAGCAGTGAAGGGTTCACAGGTCTCACCAGCGCACAGGGCGACTCTCCTGCGTCACTGCAGGGCGTGCCCGCAGCCCGCTGCCTCGTCTGCCTGCAGAGGGGGCGCCGACACCCACGTTCCTCTCAGGTGCCCGTGCCTGGCCGGCGCCCGCCTGCGATCACTGCACAGCGTATACCGGCGACCGGAGCAGGTGAGGGACGCGGATTTGGCCGCCGGCCACCTCCGCCACAAGGAGCTCCACCTCGTGGGGCTACAGGCCGGTCATATCCGGCGCTGAGAGGACGAACAACAAGTCTCTAGACTTACGAACGGTTACATGTACGGGTAAAACGGGATGGCACGACACTTTTTCTAACCCCTGCAATGTTAAATTTGATGGCCGCGACAAGCAAGTCACAAAACGTTCTGCTGACGAGGAAGGAAAGATTTAAATGGGCGTTTGACTGTCGCAACCTCAAAAACCTCCAAATACACATCACCGAAAAAATACACCCGTAAAATCTCCAATTCTCCACCCCGTCACTCCCATGACGGGATTCGAGCCCACCTCTCTCGCATACTGTACCGACAGTGTTCTAAAATTGGATTTTGGATGGGTGTGCTGACGGAGAAAAAAAAAATCGTAGGATGAGAAAAAAGGAAATAAATAACCGTGTATTTGCAAAATGGTATAATGCCAATTTGTATGCCAACTGATAAACCAGCATTTCATGTCAGAATCTTGACAGGTTGTGAAACAAAAATGTGGGTGCATCAGCCTGTCAAGTGACATGTAAACTGGCTGTTGGAAATACATGAAACTTTTTTCAGAGAGGAAGCTAAGTCGGTCATTCGTATTTTAGGGATGAAAGTATTTTCCCCATTAGGTGTAATTTGCCACCAAAAAGTCTGAAAAATGGAACACTGTGTACCGACCTGGAGCATCTGATACTGATAGTCGTGCTCCTTGGTCATGGGCACCCTGCCCAGCGGCGCCACACTCAGCAACACGGGAATATTGGCCTCGTTTGTCGGCGCCGTCGCTGTAACAACACGGAAACAAGAGATACGATGATTAGAAACCAGTCCTAATATCGAGATATTGAAAACAAACACCAAGGACAAGGCACAACACTGACGTTAGAACGGAAAGGGAAGGGAATGCATGGTAGCCACTAACCGAAGTTACTGCTTAGTGGAGCAGGTCACCTTAGTTCATCAGGACGAAAAAAAACTGACAGAGGCTTCGCATAATAACTAGTTTGCAACTAATTCAGAAAACTCATCTTAACTATAAAAATGTCGACTCTCACTCTATCAAACCTGTCCATACCATTCCAACCGAAATTTCCGTCATACCCAGGCCCAGTGGTATGATTGTCCACAATTACTACTTACTATTCGTGCCCCAATCCATAGCCCAGCCCCATGTCCTAAGCGTCTACCAGTTGCACGTCTCTCTCACTCTCAGCCCGGCAGGATAGCGGCTGCACAGGCTACATGGGCTACACGGGCTACAGAGGCTTCAACAAGCTACAGGGGCTACACAGGATACAGAGGATACATAGGCTACCTACACAGGCTACACAGGCTACAGGAGCTACAGAGGCTACACGGGCTACAGACTAGACTACAGAGGCTTCACAGGCTACAGGGGCTACATAGGGTGAAGCTACACAGGCAACACACAACACAGGTTACACGTACTGCAGAGGCTACATGGGTTACACGGGCTACACGCCGGGCTACACGGGCTACGCGTCCCGCCAGTCTCCTTACATTTGCCGATGTCGGCTGGTGAGCTCCTGTCTTGCAGCTGCTGCGAGAGGGACTTCAACGCCGCCGGGTCCGACGGCTGTCGACACGAAAATGTCGTTAGTGATGTCCAGAATAGCGACCAGCGGCATACATACAGACAGTATAGAACATAACAGGACACGAGCTCAGGGACCGGGCTCAAGTCAGACGGCTGGTCCACATAATTGTTCTCAGAAGCTGCTTAGGAGGGGTGTGAACAGCCCGGCGGCGGCACTAACGGCACTTATACACTGGCAAGTCGCGAATAATTGGAAAACGCTAGAACCCCGTAACTTCAGGATGTATCGCGGCCGAAAAAATCAGAAGTCTGTCTTCGGCCCAGTTCAGATGCTCTCGAGTCATCTGCCCACGTTAGTCGGCAGGCACCGTGCTTTTTATCGGGAACTTCCCCAACCTCCCCCCGGCTCTCTACCCATTTTACCCCTCTCAACATCACCCCCCGCCCACCTTTTCGCCGTTGACCTGGGCCGTCTGTGGCGTTTGGGCCGGCTGTGACGGCGGCTGCGGCGTGGAGGGAGTCTGCGCCGCCGGGGTGGCCGGCTGCCGCGCCGCCGCGGGACTGGGCGCCGCCGGCGGCGGCTGGGCGGGCGGCGCGGCGGCGGTGGAAGTCGCAGCCGGCGCCGGAGAGGACGGTACCGAGACGGCCGACGGCGCCGAGGTCGACACGGTGGTCGACGACGACGCCGGCGTCGTCGTGGTGAGGATGTGCACTGGCGGAGAGAGAAGGGCTCGTTAGAAACGAACAGAGAGACAGAGTGACACCAGGCAGCGATAGCTGAATACAACTGGGCGCTCATCATCCCGTCAAAATAAACACGAACATAGCGGGTTTACTCAAAAAGTAACAATCTGCCGTCGCACGTCGCCCAAACACATACCCAATAACGAATTCCATCACTTCTTTGTTTGTTTGTTGAGGGTTAGGGGCGCGCCGACAGCAAGGTCATTTTGCGCTTCATCTTACAGTCAACACCGCAACTTCCGACAAAGTTGTATCCCCATACACCGATCCTGCATACCGATCTTCCACCGAGTCTGTATCTCCCCTCTCTCGACCCTTATCCTAACATGCGTCTCCCCTCCCCCACAAGCTCTCTTCCCTCACTCTTCTATCTCCCACCTGAGGATGCCGTGGGCTGTTGGGAGGCGGCCGCCACGGCGGCAAAGTTGGGCGCCGTGCCGCCGGCCGGCCCGGTCCCCACCGCCGGCGCCAGCGGCGTCGACTGAGACCGGGACGAGCCCGCTGACGGCGCTGACGGTGCCGATGACGCCGCCGATGACGCTGGGGACAAGGAGGCGGCGTCATCGTGGGCGAGGGGGTACGAGGCTCGATGTAACAGCTTACTGCGGATAGGTTAAGTCATTATCGTCAAATGAAGGGGTACGAATTCCCACGTCGGCAGTTCAACTTACTGTTACTCGGAATTGCACCACGCTTAAAGTGTGGTGCAATTCCGAGTAACAAGCGCGTCAAAGTTCAAGCTCGTCAAAGTTTGACGCGCTTGAATGATTATCGAACACCGCAATTGAGGCATTAAAGCGAAAAGGGTCGTTTTAAGGGGATCTTTATCAAAATAAACCTAGAACGTGGGTCTGAGCCTTGAGAAACTACGTAGCTTATTACGACAGGATTTAATATCCTGCTACGTACCTACCTGATCACCGTAAAACTAATCTGAAACTCAATGAAACTAGATCCGGTTGTCCAATAGGTATATTTCCTAAGTCCAGCCAAGTTACCCCGCCCATTACCGCTAAAATAACTATAACTTTCTACATTCTACTCTCGTAATCTCGGGCAATATTCTGTCTTCCCACCTGCTGTCGCTTTACTGGACGACGTTTGGGAGGAGTTTTGTAACGCCTTGGCCGCTGAGCCGGAGCCGTGCTTCGCCTTCTGCGTTGTTGAGTCTTCCGATACCGATCTACAGAGAACGGGAACAGATGGTTAGGTGAATATGGCAAAATGCTAGGAGCGGGAGGGAAGGAGGGAGAAAGTAGAGAACTGTTCCAGTGAAAGGAGAAAGCGAAGCAAAGCAAGAAATGAAAAACGAGACAAGAAGGGAGAAAATCCAAGGAAACGAGCGAGGTCATACGATATAACGAGGAAGAAACATGAGAGGGGCGAAATAAAAAAAGACGAGGGAATAACAGCACCGTATCTCCAAATCCGTCACACACAGCCTCTTCATTATACCGTGGTTATCTCTACACTAGCTGGTCCCGACTGACTTTCTAACAGACCTCCTCAGTTGGTCTCACGTGACCTCTCAGGCCTTCAATGAACCTCGGTAGATCTCAGACCCCAGTCGGCCGCCTGCAGCCCTTCACACCTTCAGCCAGGCCCGACTGACCTGCTCACAGACCTTCTGTTGGTATAACACCTTCAGACCTTCAGCCAGGCCCGACTGACCTGCTCACAGACCTTCTGTTGGCCCGGCTCTTGGAGCTGGTGGTCGTGTCGTCGCCGTGGCTGTCGCCGGCGGCCGGCGTGTGGTTGTTGTTGAGCGGCGACGGTGAGGAGCCCGAGTGGAGGGAGTTGGTGGGCGTCTCGCTCGACTCCTCGCCCCGCGTAGTGCCGTCCGTCACTCCCACCTGGGGGCGGGGGAAGGTGAGGTCATGTATTGTCGGTTTGTTGGTTTGTTCGGGCTAAAACCAGTAAAACGCCTTTTGGGCGAAGAACGAGCGAGCGAGATAGTGAGCCCTGCACGTGCGGAAGGGTGAGAGGGTGCTTCCAACGGGCTTGCGCAAAGCACCCTTCTAACTGGTCGCTAGCGGTGTGCCAAATTTGAGCGCAATCGGCCCAGCCGTTCCTGAGATCTGGAAGCGGCATTCTGCACGTGCGCACGTGCAAACGGGGTCCAAAATGACTTTTGCACGGCACCCTACTAACTGGTCCCCAACCGTGTACCAAATTTGAGCGCAATCGGCCCAGCCGTTCTCGAGATCTGGAAACGCCCCCTGCACGTGCGCACGTGCAATAGCACCCTAACCGCAACACATGGGAATGCATTGCCTGGTGGGTGCCTACCTGTATGCCAAGTTTCAGCGAAATCGCCCCAGTAATTACCGAGTTACTGAAATGGGAACAAATTTGGCACCTCTCATTGTTGTATTTTGCACGTGCACTGGGGGTGACCCACATGCATCGAGAGTATCCTATTTTGGGTAGAAGGGATGCTGCTACCCTATAAAAATTACCGGAAGTCAATCGCCCAAGCGGCTGCTGAGATATGAGCCACTCAAAATCACTACTTTTGCAAAACAGCTTGAACACCCTTGACTTTTCACGTGGCACGTGCCACGACGGTCACTGAGATGTATCAAAAGTAGTCAATTACGGGGTAGAAGGGATGGGGCTACCCAACAAAAAAGACCGCAGGCCAATCGGTCCAGCGGTTGCTGAGATATAAGCCTCTCAAAAGCGTTACAGGCCGGGCCGGGCCGGGCCGGGCCGGGCCGGGCCGGGCCGGGCCGGGCCGGGCCGGGCCGCTCATACTGAGATTTTTCCGTTATATTGAAAAGACTCACTTCGCTCGCTGCGCTCGCTCGCTCGTAATAAGAATCGGCGATTCCCTAACATGCAGTACCACGCACCACATTTGCCACTTACCGCACTGGTAATCGCTACTACAAATTGACCGACCGTGTCTAAATAACGTCTTCAAAATACAACGTGCTCTGTTTATATCCCTCGTCATACCTGTATCGCCACACAGTACACTATACTCACGCCGTCCTATCTCCTTGACCTGTCCATACACATCGAATCAGTTCCTGTCCCATTATATATCGTATCCGGCCGTTTTGTCCATGGCTCTCGTATCCGTCTATGCCAGCCACCGAACGCCGCCTTTATCACATGACAGTCGCCTCTCCAGTTATCGTCACCAAACAGTTACCAACCCCTCCCGGCCGCGGCGTATGATGTTATCCACACCGCGTCAGTAGCGCCCTATCGCGTGTCAGTCCACCCACCACGGCTAAATATGCTGCGCACTTCGCCCGGTATCGTTATCGCCTCATGGTACCCAACCCACGGCGCATCAAACAAAACGATGCCCACTCTATGGTACACGTCTAGAAAACCCTATCGCACAATGGGGTTTATCAGTGGAACACGCGGCGTGTCTTCAAACAAAGAAAGTCACCCGCATACCATCACCGGGTCACGGTCTGGTGAGCGTAACGTGCTGGCGGGCGGCTGACACGACGCCTGTCAGTGGCTAGCTAAAGCGGTTTGCGGGGCCGCGGGCGACTTGCGGGGTCGCGGGCGACTAGGTTGGGAGGCTTCGACGCAAAGACTAAGAGAGAAATACGGAAATTTAAGACTTATGACACAGTTTTACGATCATCGAGTAGACATTACGTCAAGCCTGCACGCGTTTGATTAACTTTTGTGGTTACATCCTGGAAATAATATGCTAAAAATTTGGCAAGACCCTTTAATCAACGCCTCCACACCATCTCCCCTTACTTCCTATTATAAACTTTTAGCCGAGCATAACCCTCGGAGAAGTAGCCAGTGATCAGCTCCCTCTCCTAGTCTGGCAGCCTAGTCAATGAAAAAATCGTGCAGCGAGGAAAGTTGACCGTCGCCATCGGTCCACATCGGTCGCTCACTCACCACATCTAAATATCACATCATCGGCTCCAGGCTATTCCAGACACCGACCATCTTCCTTTTCCAAAACCCCCGGACTGACTCCGGTCGTCGCTCACTTACCACATCTGACCACATCTCCTCGAGGCTGTCCATGTTGATATCGTCGTAGAGGAAGTCGTTCTCCACAAACGTCGGGTCCTGGTTTGACTCGGTGTAGTACTCCACGTCGTCGCGGATCTTTTTCACCTGCAAGACGAGAAATATAGACATAGGTTACGGGCGGCTGTGTGTATACATGGGTATGTGTGTTTGTGTGTGTTTTTATGATGTGAAGGGTTTTTATGGACCAGTATGGTCTGGAATAAAGTTTTATCTGTGTATCTGTTTGTCTATAAGGACTGAAGGGCTCGACTCGTCGTTCGACTCCATGTAGTATTCAACGGTTTTGTAGTACTCCACAGTTTCTCTACGGTACATGTAGCGTTCTTTTCACCTGAAGAAGAGAAGTCGATATATAGGTGGGTTACCAATAGATAAGGATCTGCTCTGAAAAACGATCTTCTTCTTCGTCTGCAGACGATAACGGAATATGAGCATGGGTAAGGAATGATGTTTAAGTAGGGCCTACATGTAAAAATAAGGAGACGCGTTACCATGATGTCAGAAGGGAATCAGACGCCCATAGAGCCAAGGTCTGATTTAATTACACGCGAGTTACAAAGTTTTCTGTCGGTTAGCGATAAAAAAATTACCGTTCATCGATGCATATTGAAGATTCAATCATCAGTGGATGAATAACCAAATGAATCAAAACTTGTCATGAGCGTATTATCGTAACCGAGGAAGTGAGGAGCCTTTATAGGCACTCGACAAAGCACTCACCAGCCTGATAAAGCGCACGGTGATATACGAACTGACGTCATAAGCATTACACGTATCAATCAACGGGAACCCACGATGTCATTAGACCAGTAATCGTATCCACCATTTCAGAGTAATTATTGATCGCTCACTACTTACAGAAATTGACAAGCTATAACAACCCATACACCAAAGCAGTGTTAGGATTCTCTCTGGGCCTTTTTTATTTCGGTTGGAATAGGAACCAGACACGATCTTACCCTGACAGAGTTATCGCCGATTACAATGGTTGGCCACCACGAATTACCACCTTACCCTTCTTCCCTCGACAATTACCCTTTTTTGACCCTTCATAACAAAGGCCGGGGAATCTACCCAGCATAAACCCGCCTTCTATTGTATCCCGTCCTCTTCCCGTCGCCCATCTCTCAGACGTACCGACTCGATGTCGACCGCATTGTTATCCAGCATCCTCAGCAGAGTTTCTAGCTTCTTGATGTGGAACCGGTGCTTCTCTATCCAGTGTTTGAGCTGGTCCAGCCGCTCCGACTTGTCTTTGTCGCGCTTCCTCTTCACCGTGAGACTGTCCATCTCTGCCTCGAACTGGTCGATCTGAAAGACGCAGCGGGAAATCTATTAGTTGCCTGCTGGGGTTAAGGGGACACATCGATAGTTGGGAATGATGCATCTCGGTGTTCGGTTACTGATTATGGTCGGAAGGATGGACGGGTGATTACGCATTATAATGTGTGAGAGTATCGGAAAAGGTACAAATTACGGGGAAGGATGTGAACGAAGTGTAATACGACGGTTAATAAGCTAGGACAAAGCGTGATAGGCGTCTGTAGCAATGTGTTAATGTGGACTATAGAAAAGGAAAAGTGAAAGCCGACCGTGTGTAAATGAAATGAGCGACATGAAAATCGCTGATAACGTTTCAGTATTGATACTTGATAGCACCCGAAAGATATTGCAGTGAGGCAGAGAGAGAGAAAAAAAACAAGGTAACTAGGTAAAACCAACACCGTTTCATCAATGTTTCTGAAACACCCCACGACTCACGGTATGCAACTTTGGGACTCCAACATTCAACAAATCAATATCGTCGACATGCAGGCGAGCCATTCAATAAGTTCGGCTGCATGCGATGGCCCCATTGATTCCGCCGCCAGTTCCCCGGCCCGACCAAACCGACATCAGCCACATACAACAATCCACGGTCGGCAAGCGACAACGGGCGCTGTTCCACACTTCAGGTCCCTTTCCTTCCCCTATCGTCCCCCCGTTCCCCATGATCACTAACCACACTAACCAAATAAATTCTCGCAACTCCTACATCTCGATCCTTTCCAGTTTCCGCATTTCCACAGCACCTTGCGTGTTTCCATCCGACGTAAAACTGCGCCGATGCACCTAGCCCCGATTCACTTTACACCGACGTGGACCTTACACTAATCTTTCGAACATCTCGTGATTTCCGCGACCTTTCTCTACCTCGTCCCGCAAAATCCCTTCAGTCCTCAACAGAGCCTAACATAGAACTTGTTTGTTTATTGGGGCTTTAGGGCGCGCGCCGCTAACTACTAAGGTCATTTTACGCCACCCAACGTAGAACATATTAGTTCTCCAACTCAGTGAGGGAAAGCTGCTGTTAAAGAGGCTGCAGTGCCTCAGCACTCACCTACAGAACTCGCACCCCATCCATCCACCTACCTAGCCAGCCTGTCCCCCCCCCCCCCCTCACCTGCACGTTCAGCTGCTCGATGCTGTTTGAAAGCCACCGGGTGCACTCGTCGCGCTCCTTCTGCACCGGGTCCAGCTTGGTGGCGGCGCCGAGACCCTCCTTGGAGTACGCCTTGGTCTTGGTCTCTCGCTCCAGACCCTTGAAACGCTCCATTTGCTGCCGACGGATACTGAGTGTTACTGGAGTTGAGTGAGGCAGAGACAGGGAAGAGGTGGAGGGGAGAGGCATACAGGGAGAACCAAGAAAGTGTGAGGGAGGAAGAGTGAAGATAAGACAGGTACAAAAGAGCAAAAGGATTGAGATAAAAAAGGAGAAATGGAGAAAGAGGGAGGGACTGGGATGAAGAGAGGAGAGAGATCAGAGACAGAGATGAAGACATAGAGAAGTATAAGGGAATAGAGAGGATGTGGTCAGATTGTGGCTCAATAAGCACCACACTGGGTTTGCTCACCGTTTCAATGAGTTTCCGGTGCTCGATGAGGCTGCTCTTGTCCTTGACCTCGGCTGACGCCTGCCAGGTCTTGATCTGGTCTCGCAGCCGCTGCAGCTTCTTGATCTCCTTCTTGAGGTCGGCCTCATACTTCTCCTTCTGGTTGCTGTTGGTGGCGTGGGTCACCTTGGTCCAGATGTCCTCGAACGTCTCCACACCCTCCGTTACCTTTTTCAGGCACCGGTCTATCTCACCTGAGGTCAGGACAGATATTGTGATGATAAAGCTTCAGGGAATATTTACAGCAGAAGTTGTGACTATGAAAATGGTGCTCAAGTTCTCCTCAGGGGATCACATGGCTGGAAATTCAAATAACCATTTGAAACCAAACAAACCAAATTAAAATTATCATTTGGACATCAGAAAAAATGGCTGCTTGGCATCAGAGGAAAAATGAAAGCTGCTGCTTGACAGTCTGGGCTTCATTGATAAAGGCTCTAAAACACAGTTATGAATCATAACTGTGTTTTAGCGCCTTTATCATCAGGACAAATAGTGACTTATTGACCAGGGCTGCAATCAATTATATAGCACATATATGAACAAAATAAGTCACTTTATGCAAAAAACTTTCTTTGCAACGGGAGAAGGAGCCTAGGAAATCAGAAGTGCTTCATACACTACTTTTTAGGATGATTCAATTTATAAAAGCAGCTACAGGTTTTTCATATGTTTTACAACCTGCTTTAATAATTTTGAAATAATTGCACAATAAGTGAAAAAGTCATGAAAATTTTGGAGTGTTGAGATTTTGTCCTTATCACCATCTGGTGAAAACCATCCTTATCTATCAGTCAGCGGCATTGCGATTGGTGCTTGGAGGAGGGACACCTACTGTTAAATAAAAAATTCATGCCTGCTCAAGCCTAGCACCCACAGTACAGCTACCTACATTTTTATTAGCATCATAAGTCCTTTCATGCTTTATTATCCTTCTTATCCATCCTTCTCATAGCATTACAATGCAAAAACAGCCTTGAAGGATAATTTTGTCTGAATTATCATGAAAGCATGAATTCTGTGCAAATTTGTGTTCACGATGTGGAGTTACATTCAAGTGCGGATGAAAGAATTTATTAACAATTTATATCTTAAGCTACAAGATAAATCCAGAGCTAGGAAAAAGCAAAATGTGTCAAAATTTTCAAAAAAGTCCCAATATTTTACTATAGACATATGCACAGGACAACAACAAGGAAGTGGAAAAGTAGTTTTGAACTTTCCAATCATGTCAGCCAGCAATGTAAAGAGATGAATAAGAGGAAAATACATTTCAGCTAACAAGAATGTCCTGCTTAAATGGGATTATGTGGTTCTCTAACAGGTTGAAATAATTAAATGAAAACAAGCTTTCCCCGGAAGCCAATGCGCAACAATTGTCTACAAAATTTACAGCAAAATGTATTGCCCAAATTTCCGCGAATAACATAGCATACCTTGAAGTTTCCTTGATGCTGCCATTTTTCATCACCTGCTTTGAGATACACAACTATACATAACATAAAATGATGAGTATCAGCAAATATACGGCCGGTATGACCTCCACAACATATGAAAACATGAAAGATGGCTACCAATTTGAAGCCGAACATCCAACATACATAAGACAATGGGCAAGGAATATAGTTTTCACGTATACTCTAAAACTGGTATTTTTCTTAACTATTTGCTTTTTTATCAATCGATATTAATTAAAAAGCACAAATTACATTTGTTTAAAGAATTATTTTGAAACAAACGTTTATATTTTGCGGATGAACACTAATTCGATCAGCTGAGAAACGTAAACAAAAGACCAGCGGCCGAGAAACACGTTGGCCGCGTTGCGTTTTTCTACGGTGGCTGCCCGATTGAGGTCGTGGAACGGACGACGGTGACGTAGAAATCGTGTTTTGTGAGGTTCTCAAAGAAGTAATAAATAAAAATAAGATGTTAGGTACTATGATATGGCGCAACTTCCAGGGCTGCTGCCTGCTCGGTGCCTCGGCGCTCCGACCAAGCCAAAGCGTTGTTGCAGTACCCCGGCTCTAGCCTTGCGTTTTTGTTACCTTATCGCTTCGCTTAACTATGGTGAAGCTGTGAATTTATTTGCTCAGTTTCCGAATATATAGCTTATCATGACGATTCATTTGTGTGCCGACGACGGGCGTGTAACTACTGACTCGGGGTGTTGAATGTTTATGCCTTCCGGAGAAGAGACGTTTCCATTTCGCTTGGCTCTAGATGTTTTGCTCGTTTGTTTTTCAACTTTTTAAATGCATATTTGCTAAATTCCTTGTTATGTATTGGTTTAGTTCGTGACGTAGACATCGTCGCTCTCCTCCGGCTGAGATAACCGGTCGAGGGTACGGTCGAGGCTGCCCGACCGGACCGCGTTGGCTGACCGTCGGTCCCGGTCGCAGGGGGAGGGGGGGGGGGCACCACGCGCTCACCACGCGCTGGCATAGCGTGGCACTGTGATCCGTGGCGTGGCCTCTTGTCCCTGCCCGACCCTACCGGTCGGGGACCCTATCAGTCCGATCAGCGGCCCGCATGCTGTGCCATGCGGCGGCGGCCGCGTCTGAGGGTCGGCTCGTCAGGCACCGCTCGGCCGACCGCTCGGGTCCTGCTCGGCCGCTCGGGATCCGCCACCGTTTCGGCCGGGTCCAGAGTCGCCCGGAGAAGCTGGCTGGCTCGGCTCGGCTGTATCGGGGCCTCGGGCGATGTCTGATTATGGTGTGCATGTGCTAACGCGAATGTGCCACCGCTGATTTATGTTTGTAAGGCCTTATGCCCTGATCTGATGGGCGGTGTCACCCCTTCCGATAAACTGTAACTGTTGCTCCCCTAGCGATATGGACAGTTGAGAGAAGGCTCCGTTTGAGGCTAAGCGTTCACTGCTATCCGGCCCAGAGGACCAGAAATGTTTGAGTGCTTTCGTCGTCGTAGCCGCCGAAATATATTAGCCAGGCCCGTTCGTTTACTGTCTCTCGGACCACCATTGTCAACACGGAAGACGGAAAATAAATGTCAAGCTCATCCATGCGTAAAAAGGTAATTCTCGATGCAATAAACGGTTAAAACGAGTTGAGTGTCGTCCGTCTGTGTCAGCTGCAAAAGCTGCACTCAGTCGTAACATCAGGTGACTTCGGCCCGGACTCGCGCCGGCGCTGCCTCGCGCGGGTCGAGCTACATCCGACACTGACACCGGTGCTCCGTCACATCGGGCGAATCGACTATCGAGACGAAGACGGAAGGGGTACCGAGTCGCTAAGAGGAAACGTCGTGGCGTCACCGGTGACATAAGAACGTGGACGGTCGTGCTACCCGCCCCTTGTCCCGTCTCAGCCCTCGTAATTAGTGAAACACATCACGTGGTCATGGGATGCGGGACAGGGTACAGATGACTTGTGCCAAGTCGTTAGTGTTGCACTGATTAGTGCTCGCTGACAGCCTCTTTATCTTCCGGTAACACCATCTACTCACGTGGTTTCCATGACACTTTGGTAGGAATTTCGGTTGCAAGTCTTAAGCTCAGTCACCGCATGCCTTTTATGAATACACTGCCGATGGAAACGGGGACAGCTCAAACGCCCCGGCCTTAGGCATTGAGTTTAATATTTAGACAAAGACTCCTCAGCGAACGCATTTCGTCGTGCCTACATAGACTGAGACTCAACCGTCTTTAGACCTTGACAATGACATACACATTACACATTGTACAATATGCAAGGCACAAGCTAGAGGCTAGAGCTCTTCCGCAGACCTTGACCTGCACCCGTCCTTAGACCTTGAGCACCACAAACACACCACATAGACGGCGCTGCGAGTGCTGCGGGCTCAGATCGATACCGGGGCTGTCGGTCGGCCGCCGCCGGACAGAACCAGTGGGCGACCTCCGACGACGGGTCGGTCGGTCTCTGCCGTCGCCGCTGTCGGCACACACCGTCCCAGCAGCAGCTGCCAGCTCTGCGGAGATTTACCGGCTGCAGGGGAGTTCCCGACGCAGGTAAGACGCGTGCAGAGTGAGTAATAAGGAGGGACTTGAGAAGGTTAGGTAAGGCTATGACGATTTGGATTAGGTTGAAGAGCGATGGGCCGGCATTGAAGAAGAACTTTGCTGTTTCAGCGTAGCATTTTCGCAATATAGCTGGTGAGCTCTAAAATGGATTACGTTAGGTGTCGAGTCGAGTTGATTTCAGTTAATGAGTAATATGATCCGTCTTATTTATGTGGGTTTTGTTATGTTGCCTATAATTCATCCATTTCATACACATGATGGATGACACTGAGGCTGTTCAACCGTCCAGCAGGCATGTCGAAACGGCACAGCCACGGCTCACCCGTTCACTACCAATTATTGGTGCATAAAAACTCCACATTGCATCTACATCTACCTATAACTGTAATATTGATTGCATCGGCCTAAAACGTACTGGCGCCATGCGGTACAGCATATGTTTCAGGCGTTCACTGCTAACGCCATCTATGGAGAAGCATCAGAAAAGCTTTATGAGCCGTGCGGCACAGCATACCTTCAGGCGCATACCACTATCGACAT